CTCTATCCTCTTCCAGCTTGCAATATTCTTCTGGGCATTTTATAATTTTTTTCATTAGCAATTCCTCTTTGCCTCTTCCCACACATATATTCCCATTCTGTAATTTCTCTGTCTCTATTACACCATAACTGTACAAAGAAAATTCACAAATGCCATAAGCTTCTCAGGTATCCTCATAATTGAGTAAGATAAGGCTACAGGGAATCTGATACTATCTTAGACAATGAGTTATACTTCCAGGAAATTAAGACGTTGAAGCCATGAGATAATCTGAGGCTTCTTTTACGAAGCTCAGGAGTTGAAACTCGCTCATTCCTGTGAGGACCTTGAAAGGCGACCCTCGCTCATTCCTGTAAGACTTTCAAGTCATCGAAATATTCACTCCAAATCTCTCTCTCTCTCTCTCTCTCTCTCTCTCTCTCTCTCTCTCTCTCTCTCTCATTCTCTGTCTCATTTCTATAAGACTTCAGACAAGTTAGATAAGGAGCAAGGTGTCGGATATTCCGAGAATGAAGGTATTCCAGGTAGAAGGTAGAAGGTATTCCAGGTAGAAGGTAGAAGGTATTCCAGGTAGAAGGTTTTCCAGGTAGAAGGTATTCCGAGTAGAAGGTAATCCAGGTAGAAGGTATTCCAGGTAGAAGGTATTCCAGGTAGAAGGTATTCCAGGTAGAAGGTATTCCAGGTAGAAGGTATTCCAGGTAGAAGGTATTCCAGGTAGAAGGTATTCCAGGTAGAAGGTATTCCGAGTAGAAGGTAATCCAGGTAGAAGGTATTCCAGGTAGAAGGTATTCCAGGTAGAAGGTATTCCAGGTAGAAGGTATTCCAGGTAGAAGGTATTCCAGGTAAAATGTATTCATAGTCTAAAACAATATTGTTTCAGACTATGGAACAATGCTCTTCTCCAGACTGAGGGACTGACCACCTCAAAACTTTAAGGGTGATGGACCGATTACATCGTCTTCAAGTATCTTCTGCTTCTATCAACTTTTCTGTACTCGACTGAAGAAGCCTACTGTGTAGGCGAAACGTTTCGAAATAAAGATACCTAACTGTTGCATATGTGTCTTACCTAACAAGTAGAAGGTATTCCAGGTAGAAGGTATTCCAGGTAAAATGTATTCCAGGTAGAAGGTATTCCAGGTAAAATGTATTCCAGGTAGAAAGTATTCCAAGTAGAAGGTATTCCAGGTAGGAGGTATTCCAGGTAGAAGGTATTCCAGGTAAAATGTATTCCAGGTAGAAGGTATTCCAGGTAGGAGGTATTCCAGGTAAAATGTATTCCAGGTAGAAGGTATTCCAAGTAGAAGGTATTCCAGGTAGAAGGTATTCCAGGTAGAAGGTATTCCGAGTAGAAGGTAATCCAGGTAGAAGGTATTCCAGGTAGAAGAATTTCTAGGTAGAAGGTATTCCAGGTAGAAGGTATTCCGAGTAGAAGGTATTCCAGGTAGAAGAATTTCTAGGTAGAAGGTATTCCAGGTAGAATGTATTCCAGGGAGAAGGTATTCCAGGTAGAAGGTATTCCAGGTAGAAGGTATTCCAAGTAGAAGGTATTCCAGGTAGAAGGTATTGCATGTAGAAGGTATTCCAGGTAGAAGGTATTGCATGTAGAAGGTATTCTGGGTATTAAGTAATCCAGACAGTAGCACATTCCTAGAAGGACATTAGTGTGTAAATTAATTGGGACAAGAGTAAATTTTTGTTATTATCTCATAATACAGGGTGTTTCAAAATGATGGTCACAATCTTTTTGAAACACTGTATGTCTTAGTCTCCTGCTTAATTAATGTAGTTTGGATTCTTTTCTTTTCATAAGAGTTTGCTACTGAATTCTGGCAACCATCCAACTGTGGTGTTACCCTGCGACTCTCGTCAGTGCTACAACAGCTATTGTTCTCTAAGGCTATTCCTGTAAGCTTGCTCTGTGAGTGAATGTTGTTGTTCCAAATTCTCCCCTTCAGTTTATGTTTACTGCTGATATTCATGATGGATGTTACACCTAGGAACTATGTAATATTGTAGCTATTGGAAAATATGCTGGTTTGAGTATCAGACAAACTGCCAAAAAATTGAGCCTAGCAAAGTCAACTGTTGGTCGGATTCTGAAGAGAGCTGACGACACTAGTGAAGTTGGCAGAACTGCCAGAAAGCCGGTAAAGAAACCATTATTGGATGCTGCTATGATGGAAAAACGACTGTGGTGGGATGAACGACAGATGGATGGAGAAAAGTTATATTTTCTGAAGTTATGTTTTTTGAAGTACATGGGTACAGATCAGTGGTAGTGAAGTACATGGGTACAGATCAGTGGTAGTGAAGTACATGGGTACAGATCAGTGGTAGTAAAGTACATGGGTACAGATCAGTGGTAGTGAAGTACATGGGTACAGATCAGTGGTAGTAAAGTACATGGGTACAGATCAGTGGTAGTGAAGTACATGGGTACAGATCAGTGGTAGTAAAGTACATGGGTACAGATAAGTGGTAGTGAAGTACATGGGTACAGATAAGTGGTAGTGAAGTACATGGGTACAGATCAGTGGTAGTAAAGTACATGGGTACAGATCAGTGGTAGTGAAGTACATTGGTACAGATCAGTGGTAGTGAAGTACATGGGTACAGATCAGTGGTAGTGAAGTACATGGGTACAGATCAGTGGTAGTAAAGTACATGGGTACAGATCAGTGGTAGTGAAGCACATGGGTACAGATCAGTGGTAGTAAAGTACATGGGTACAGATCAGTGGTAGTAAAGTACATGGGTACAGATCAGTGGTAGTAAAGTACATGGGTACAGATCAGTGGTAGTAAAGTACATGGGTACAGATCAGTGGTAGTAAAGTACATGGGTACAGATCAGTGGTAGTAAAGTACATGGGTACAGATCAGTGGTAGTAAAGTACATGGGTACAGATCAGTGGTACTGAGTCGGAGCAAAGGCGAGCCTCTTCAACAAGCGCCAAAACCCCCACCTAAGAAGTTTTGGGGTAGATTTTTAAGGCCCTGGACGGCTTGTTATTGTTAAGGGAACGATGAACAGTGACACATACAAGGCAATCCTGGCAACTGATTTGCTTCCCATTGTGGATAGAGACTTTCCTGATGGAGAAGGCATTTTCCAGCAGGGTCTTGCTCCATGCCACACTTCCAGAAAATTGCTGACTTTCTTCGAAGAGAGTGGACTAAGTGTTCTAAATTGGCCTGGTAACACTCCAGACCTCAACCCAGTTTAGAAACTATAGACAATGACTAAGCACTCTCTCCAGATAAACTCCAGATAAACAGGATCACGAAACAGAGCTAGACATTAATTGCTGTCATTAGGATCTGGAACAACAACGAAGAATTTGCCAAAATATGTTCAACATTGGTCGATTCTATAGCAAAACGTGTGGCAATGCTTGTAAAAACAAAGGTTTAATCTTATCTCTTATTAAATCAACTATCTGTCATGTTATTGTCGTCTATTTTCCAAATATTTATTAATTTTCCAGTTAAATGTCTTATTTCACAATTGTCCCAATTAATATGCATACTACTGTATGACATTCCAGTAACATTCCAGGCAGTAGCACATTCCAGTAACATTCCAAGCAGAAAGACGTTCTAGTAACATTCCAGGCATTAAAACGTTCCAAGCAGAGAGACATTCCAGTAACATTCCAGTCAGTAAGGCATTCCAAGCAACAGGCATTCCAGGAAGATATTCCTGTCACATTCCAGGCAGTAACACTGCGTACAGTAGCATTCCAGGCAGCAGCATCCAACTAATAATATTCTAAGGTGTAAAACATTCCAGGACGTAGATCATTCCAGTCTCGTTCCAGGAAGCAAGTCATTCAAGTCTCATTCCAGGGAGAAAGTCATTCCAGTCTCATTCCAGGCAGCAAAATATTCTAGCAACACTCTATTAAACAAGCAACATGTAACAGCAACAGTCACAAGTAACAGCAACAGTCACTGGTAACAATAACAGTCACAGGTAACAGCAACTGCCACAGGTAACAGCAACAGCCATAGGTAACAGTAACAGTCAAAGGTAACAGCAACAATCACAGGTAACAGTTACAGGTAACAGCAACAGTCATAGGTAACAGTAACAGTCAAAGGTAACAGTAACAGTCACAAATAACATCAATAGTCACAGGTAACAACAACACTCACAGGCAACAGTAACAGTCATAGGTAACAGCAATAGTTACATGTAACAGCAACAGTCAGAGGTAACAGTAATAGTCAGAGGTAACATTAACAGTCAGAGGTAACAGCAACAGTCGCATGCAACAACAACGGTCACAGGTAACAGCAACAGTCAGAGGCAACAGTAACAGTCAGAGGTAACAGTAACAGTCAGAGGTAACAGCAACAGTCACATGCAACAACAACGGTCACAGGTGACAGCAACAGTCAGAGGCAACAGTAACAGTCAGAGGTAACAGTAACAGTCAGAGGTAACAGCAACAGTCAGAGGTAACAGCAACAGTCAGGGGCAACAGCAACAGTCAGAGGTAACAGTAACAGTCAGAGGTAACAGCAACAGTCAGAGGTAACAACAATAGTCAGAGGTAACAGCAACAGTCACAGGTAACAGTAACAGTCAGAGGCAACAGTAACAGTCAGAGGTAACAGCAACAGTCAGAGGTAACAACAACAGTCAGAGGTAACAGAAACAGTCACAGATAACAGTAACAGTCAGAGGTAACAGCAACAGTCAGAGGTAACAGCAACAATCACAGGTAACAGTAACAGTCAGAGGTAACAGTAACAGTCAGAGGTAACAGCAACAGTCAGAGGTAACAGCAACAGTCACAGGTAACAGTAACAGTCAGAGGTAACAGTAACAGTCAGAGGCAACAGTAACACTCAGAGGTAACAGCAACAGTCAGAGGTAACAGTAACACTCAGAGGTAACAGTAACAGTCAGAGGCAACAGTAACAGTCAGAGGTAACAGCAACAGTCACAGGTAACAGCAAGAGTCACAAGTAACAGTAACGTAACAAGACTCACTGCAGACTGACGGTACGGACCCAGGTAGAGTCATCAGGACCTGTACTCCAGCAACAGGCAAGGAGTGGTCCAGCGCTCACAGCACTGGAGGAGAGAGGATGTTAGATGACGGGTGTTAGAGGCTTGTTATAGGGTTTTAAAGGATGTTAGATGGGTGTTAGAGGTTATTAAAGTTTTTATATGGGTGTTAGAGGCTTGTTATAGGGTCTTTAAGGATGTTAGACAGGTGTTAGAAGTTATTAAAGGGTGCTACATGGGTGTTAGAAGTTATTAGAGGTGTTACATGGGTGTTAAAGGCTTGTTATAGGGTCTTAAAGGATGTTAGACGGGTGTTAGATGTTATTAAAGTTGTTATATGGGTGTTAGAGGCTTGTTATAGGGTCTTAAAGGATGTTAGACGTGTGTTAGAAGTTATTAAAGGGTGTTACATGGGTGCTAGAGGCTTGTTATAGGGTATTAAAGGATGTTAGACGAATGTTAGAGGGTGTTAGAGGCTTGTTAGAAGATATTAGACAGGTATTACACGGGTGTTACTAGAGGGTTTTACACGGGTGTTACAGGGTATTAGACAGATATTAGAGGGTGTTACACGTGTGTTAGAGGTATTAAACGGTGTTATAGGATGTAACACTGGTGTTAAAGGGAATTAGAAGGATGTTAGTGAGTATTAGAGGGTGTTACGCCTATTAGAGGGCGTTACACGGGTGTTAAATTGTTGCACGGGTGTTAGAGGGTGTCATACGGGTGTTTTCGGGTGTTAGAGGCTTATTAGAGGGTATTACATGTGTGTTAGAAATGTTAGAGGGTATTAGAGGCTGTTAAGGGTGTCACACGGAGTTAGAGGATTGTTAGTAGCTATTGGCGGCTTGTTAGAGGGCGTTAGAGGCTACTTAGAAGGTGCTAGAGGCTTGTTAAGTGTTACAGGCTTGTTAAAAGAGTGTTAGAGGCTTATTATGACAAATCCGTGGAGTGTTAGAGGCTTGTTAGGGATGTTAGGGACCGCTAGATAGATGTTAGGGGATGCTGATAAAGTTAGAAGATTGTTAGACGATGTGAGGTGTTAGATGGATGTTAGACACAGGGAGAAGTTGCATTATGTTAGAAAGATTTCGTGGGATATTTAATAGTTAGAGAGGAAGTTACACATTAGATGGGTGTTAGATGTTGTTAGATGATGTTAAGTGGTGTTAGATGTTGTTAGATGATGTTAGGTTGTGATAGATGTTGTTATATGGTGTCAGATATTGTTAGATGGCGTTAGATGTTAATAAATGGTGTTAGATGTTTGTAGATGTTGTTAGATGGTATTAGATGTTGTTAGATGGTATTAGATGGTGTTAGATGGTGCTAAATAGTGTTAGATGTTGTTAGATGGTATTAAATGGTGTTAGATGGTGCTAAATGGTGTTAGATGGTGTTAGATGGTGATAGATGATGTTAGATGGTGTTAGATGTTACTGATAAAGTGAAATGGTGTAATATGGTGTTAGATGGGCAGTATAAAGTGTTAGAATGTGTAAGAAACTGTTAAGAACTCTTTGAAGATTGTTAGGAGAATGTTAGAGGAGTGTTAGAAGTTTCTAGGGATGTTATAGGAATTAGAAACTGATTTCGTGATGTTAGATGGTAAATGTTAGGATATATCGTGTGTTAGTGGCTATTAGTGTGCTCTAAGGGTCTTAGTGGCTGTTAGGAGTGTTAGAAATTGTTAGTTGGATATTAGTGGACTGTCAGTTAGCGTTAGATGCTGTTAGATGGATATTAGTGGGCTGTCAGTGTTAGAAACTGTTACTTGGATGCTAGTGGGTTGTCAGGGGGAGTGTTAGACAGATGTTAGATGGATATTAGTGAGCTGTCAGGGTGTGTTAGAATCTCTCAGATATTTAATAGGTGTCAGGGATGTTAGAGTCTGTTAGATATATGTTAGTTAGCTGTCAGGTAATGTTAGGAGCTGTTAGATGGATGTTAGTGGACTGTCAGGAGTGTTAGAAGTTGTCAGATGGGTGTTAGTGGCTGTAAGGAGTGTTAGACAACTGTTAGATGGATGTTAGTAGGATGTCAGGGACTGTTAGACAGCTGTTAGAAGGATATTAGTGAGATATCATTGAGTATTAGAATCTGTTAGATGTTAGTGGCTGTCAGGGAGTTTTAGAAGCTGTTAGATGGATGTTAGTGAGCTGTCAGGGAGTGTTAGAAGCTGTTAGGTGGATGTTAGTGGGGTTGTTAGGGAGTCTTAGACAGCTGTTAGATGGATGTTAGTGAACTGTCAGGGAGTGTTATAAGCTGTTAGATGGATGTTAGTGAGCTGTCAGGGAGTGTTAGAAGCTGTTAGGTGGATGTTAGTGGGGATGTCAGAGAGTCTTAGACAGCTGTTAGATGGATGTTAGTGAACTGTCAGGGAGTGTTAGAAGCTGTTAGATGGATTAGTGGGGACATCAGGGAGTCTTAGACAGCTGTTAGATGGATGTTAGTGGATGTCAGGGAGTCTTAGACAGCTGTTAGATGGATGTTAGTGAACTGTCAGGGAGTGTTAGAAGGTGTTAGATGGATATTAGTGGGGATGTCAGGGAGTCTTAGACAGCTGTTAGATGGATGTTAGTGAACTGTCAGGGAGTGTTATAAGCTGTTAGATGGATGTTAGTGAACTGTCAGGGAGTGTTAGAAGGTGTTACATGGAAGTTAGTGGGGATGTCAGGGAGTGTTAGAAGCTGTTAGATGGATATTCGTGAGCTGTCAGGGAGTGTTAGAAGCTGTTAGATGGATATTCGTGAGCTGTCAGGGAGTGTTAGAAGCTGTTACATGGAAGTTAGTGGGGATGTCAGGGAGTGTTAGAAGCTGTTACATGGAAGTTAGTGGGGATGTCAGGGAGTGTTAGGAGGTGAAGGTGTTTTGCTGGTGTTAAGTATACTCGGTGGATATGTGGAGTTGGTTAGCGCTTGTTAGACGGAGTTGCTTAGCAAACAGAGGTGTTTGCTACTACAAAAGCTACAAACAACATTCGGACTTCTGCAACCCAAGGTTAGAAGAGTGCTGAGAGATGCTAGTCTGTTTGAAAGTTAGACGCTGCTGAAAGAGTTGACAGATGTTAGACACGTCTGAAACATGTTTTAAAGATCTTTAGAGAGATGTTAGAAGGTTTGTGTAGATGTTAGAGACTTTTAGATAGATGTTAGAGTTTTTGTGTAGATGTTAGAGGCTTTTAGATGGATATAGATGTTAGAAGAGATTCAGAGAGATTGTTAGAGGGCTTCCAATAGATGTTAGAGGGCTTCTAATAGATGTTAGAGGGCTTCTAATAGATGTTAGAGGGCTTCTAATAGATGTTAGAGGGCTTCTAATAGATGTTAGAGGGCTTCTAATAGATGTTAGAGGGCTTCTAATAGATGTTAGAGGGCTTCTAATAGATGTTAGAGGGCTTCTAATAGATGTTAGAGGGCTTCTAATAGATGTTAGAGGGCTTCTAATAGATGTTAGAGGGCTTCTAATAGATGTTAGAGGGCTTCTAATAGATGTTAGAGGGCTTCTAATAGATGTTAGAGGGCTTCTAATAGATGTTAGAGGGCTTCTAATAGATGTTAGAGGGCTTCTAATAGATGTTAGAGGGCTTCTAATAGATGTTAGAGGGCTTCAGATAGTTTGTACTTATAGAATAGTTTAGAGATCGTTACGGGCTAGTTTGGAGTTACAGCCTAGTTTAGAGGTCGTTAAAGGCTAGTTTAAAGGTCGTTACGGGCTAGTTTGGAGTTACAGCCTAGTTTAGAGGTCGTTAAAGGCTAGTTTAAAGGTCGTTACGGGATAGTTTGGAGTTACAGCCTAGTTTAGAGGTCGTTAAAGGCTAGTTTAAAGGTCGTTACGGGATAGTTTGGATTTACAGGCTAGTTTAAAGGTCGTACAAGATAGTTTGTGGGTAAGGATATTTCAGAGGTCATTAGTAAATAGGCTGGATAAATTTATAGGTTCTGGAGGAAATTGTTTGCCCAAATTGTTTGCCCAAATTGTTTGCCCAAATTGTTTGCCCAAATTGTTTGCCCAAATTGTTTGATCCCTGAGATAATAATACACGGCTTTTGTTGTTGATTTTGCTTGGCTGGCTTTTGTTTGTTAGTTCCTAAAGCTTGTTAGAAGCTAATTACGAGCTGTTAGCTGTTATTGTTATTACTATTATTGTTATTACTATTATTTCTTTTATTATTGCCATTATTATTATTATTATTATTATTATTATTATTATTATTATTATTACGAGCTGTTTGCAATTATTATTATTATTATTATTATTATTATTATTATTATTATTATTATTATTATTATATATTATTATTATTATTAATATTATTATTATTATTATTAGTAGTAGTAGTAATAGTATTACAATGATTATTATTATTATTATTATCATTATTATTATTATTATTATTATTTATAGTAGTAGTAGTAGTATTACAATGATTATTATTATTATTATTATCATTATTATTATTATTATTATTATTATTATTATATTATTATTATTATTATTATTAGTAGTAGTAGTAATAGTATTACAATGATTATTATTATTATTATTATCATTATTATTATTATTATTATTATTATTATAGTAGTAGTAGTAGTATTACAATGATTATTATTATTATTATTATCATTATTATTATTATTATTATTATTATTATTATTATTAGTAGTAGTAGTAGTAGTAGTAGTATTACAATGATTATTATTATTATTATTATCATTATTATTATTATTATTATTATTATTATTATTATTATTAATATTAGTAGTAGTAGTAGTAGTAGTAGTAGTAGTATTACAATGATTATTATTATTATTATTATCAATCATTATTATAAAGAAAGCAAAGCAGTTAGCTTGAAGTATGAGTTAATTAATGACCTGGGAATAACCAGAGCAAACAGTCACAAGGTAACTGAGACATTTAGTCCCCAGGGTCCTAGTTTACTGCAAACAACCCGGGGGGAGGGAAGGAGGGAATGTTTAACAAGGTAATCAAGGCGAGTCTTGAATGGCAAGACCCTTATTGTAATAAAGTTGGTAGAATTACCGACAATATGTAAAGTAAA